AGATGACATTGTCTTTGAATGTTTAAAGCCATATGTCCAATCTAACATTTTTACGTACTTAATCAATTCTTATATAATCGTTGCATAATATAAAACATTGTATATTATAATAATCATTAGTATGATCCTTTAACAAACATGTAAAACATAAATTACTGGATGTCAATGAAATATTTGAATATTGTCAGTCTAAGTTCTATGAAAGTAAGATGTTCACGTTTGTGCACAGAATATGTCTTTGAATTGCCAAAATCTATGAAATTGAGTTTCTGACACTAAATTTTAAGCTGCATTTTAAGCTGGAAAGAGCATACATCAAAACGTATGTGCAAAACAATTATCGTGAAATTATATCGAAATTCTGGGGTTAACTTTGCTTAAAACAATAAACACAACAAGCTTATTTATCAAATTTTTCTAACAAAACGATGTCGAGAATTTGAAATCAAACGGTATTTGTTAATTTATTATAATTCGGTAACGTGAATATAGTTCATAAGGTTATGGAATAAAATACCTAATGGATTGTTGCATTTTTGTCAAGAGAAATACACCGATTTCTCGTACATAAGAAGATACTTTTAACATTATAAACTTCTTGACTCTAACCGTCTTGAGAAGAAGAATGTCTAAGTACTTAACAATGAACAAATGTCATGGCTTAGCATTGCTCAATCTGTCATTATCAAGCATTTCTAAGCCACTCTATTTTTACAAAAAAGAGGATAATCCAAGTTGAATGATCTTTCTTCTTCTTGCATACTAATTTTCATTTCTTATGGTGATTACAGAACTATATACTTTTTCATTAAGAAAACTAGTAATTGTTTTGTCATTGCGTTTACATTTCATAAGACAATTCTCAACAAATAAGTAGCACGATTAATATCTTGTTCTACTGTTTTTCTTTTCTGTCCTGTTAATTAATTATCACGTATTCGAATATTCATCATAAATTCATGAAGTACGTCATATAGTGAGCTACTTATATCCACATAAGTAGTATATTATGATAGTCAGGCATAAAATGTATTTCAGTAGAAGATCAAGAAGGAAAGAACGAAAACGGAATGCGATTCGTATGAGAATTCAGGAACAATGAAATCTGAGACGATAGACTGATATTTGTGAAAGGAACAGTCAAGTTGGAGACAATTGATTGATATATTGAAAAACTAAATATTTACTGTATTATTCTCAGATTTTAGTGAGATGTTATGTAATTTCATGTTCAGAAACATTCAACTGTCCCTCACTCGTGTTCTTGTTCACTACAATATCTCTATTTCTAATCAGATTATTTTTTATAACAATAGATTGTTTATAACTAATATAGGGCATCAAAATATAAGGAAAATCATTTTATTCTGTCAACTTTATTGTTCACACTCTATTCAACATTAACAAGTAGATCAAATATATTCAAAAACAGTAATCATTTGGTAAATAAATTGTTCATGTATTCATTTACAATGAATTCTAAATGAATAACCAATTTAATCAGTTTTCAATATTCAATAATTAAGGTATTCATTTTTAAATAATATTAAATTCTCATTTGAATAATAATTATCAGTAGTCTACTGAAATCATCTTTAATTAAACAGAGAAATTGATGAAAATATAAAACGATAATGAATTTAGTTACTTATTGTTATTTAGAAAGTTTTATTAATGAGACAAAAAGTGTTTTCTTTTAGAAAATATAGAACTTCAATTGTTTTTACAGTAATAAATAAATTTAGCTATTCATATAGATGATTATTCATTAGGTTTAAACAAGGATATATGCAGTATGGGTAAGGTAGGAATGTAACAGTGATATCATTTCATTGATCTCTTTACTAGTTATTGATTTTTTGAAAGTATTCAATTGAATGAAAGAGTGAAGAAAATAAATTATGAAAGCAATATCTTGATGTTCATTTCATTTTACACAAACAAAGTCAATACAAAGACGTAACTAGTTGGTAGACAATTAATTTCTATTACGTAAGTATCAATGCTATGGTTGGACTTCATAGTTTTAAATCAATTGAGCATTGAGTTATTTACTTACTCTGAAAAAGTGGTCTATATTAAGTCACGAAACGTCAGAAATACAATTTTTCTACTTGTTGAGATATAACAAAACTCATATTTAGTATTAATTATTTCTATTATAATTTTAATTTATCGAATAATCATTTGATTTACCCTTGCCAAGACATAATTGATTACCACAAATAAATTCAAATATGAACTGTTGTTTCATACAATTCCAACAATAAATTTGATCCTGTGGTCATACTGTACCTACAAATATCTTAAAGTGAATAATCTAGTTATATGAGAAAACAAAATCACAATCAACAATAGTTTTTCTCAATACAATGACGTTAGCTTAGAAACGATAGGACTTTGATAAGAACTCGTTGTTTATTTATTGTATTGGCTTTAGAACTATTTTCAGAATTGTAGCTAAGATACCATATGGAATAAAGAGTGAACTGTCGTCAGGTTTTCTGATAATAATAAGTTGAAATCAATTATTGATTAGATTGATCAAAACAGAAAAATCAAATATAAGGAAGTTAAATTTTCTTTTCTTGAACCATTGAGACATCCACCATCTAAATCTCAATACATAGTGCCCGCAGTGTCGAGTCACCTAGACTGGTGGCCACATTGCAACATGATCGATAGCATTCGATCTGCACTAATAAGGACTAGACAAGCATGAGATTGATCACCACCCAGTGATCAATCAATTGTGATTACATCCATGAACAATTTTAATTCTAAACTTAAATTTATTGTATTTTTAAACTGAATTAAATATACATGGTCAGGCATTGTATGGACTCTTGTTAATTTATCATTTTTCTTCTAAGGAATAATTACTCATATTAAATTAGTTGATAAGATGATTTCCATGTGAAAATACATATGGATATAGTCACAGGATTTCTATATATTTTGTTCAGTCGTAAGGTTTTAATACCCATAACAATCAAGCTGTATTATTTCTATGTTTCGGGTAAACATGTATATTTACATACATGTACTGAGTATTCAAAGTTTATAAAGTAATTGGTTATCATATAGAGTTGGTATTAAAAAGACGACTTTTTAAATTATGAACAGTTAGGTGTTCGAAAGTATTGTTCTCTATAGAAGTGGTTAATGTTTGTCTTAGGTTATACAAACATGAGAAAGGTTTTTAATCGTAATGTTTTATGCCAAATAATGCAAATAAGCTTTACTGAAAAATATCAGTATATCAATGAAAAAGGGTGGTTTTCTAAACGGTTTCGTTTCATAGTCTGTGGAGTATCGATTTTACGCTCCAGCGATGTTGTAAATTAGGATCAAATATCTATTAAATAAACCCTACTTTTCGTCAATTTTTCAACCGGTATCAGTCAGCATTTCGTTTTCAGGGGATACTCAATTGTTTCTATTCTTGAAAAGCAACTACTAGATACAATTATATATATATATATATATATACAATGTTTTTCTTCAAAATGTTTCATCGTAAGGTTAATCCATATAGCTTTTTAATGACTAAGCTTTACTCGGGGAGAAATCGAGATTAAAATGAACGTTAAAACTCTATCATTGTCTTTTGCAGATAATTGTCTAAGCATAAATATAAACCTCTTTTATACTAAAGCAGAACTGGCTTTATTTTAACCAGGGCCGACAAAATTTTAAGAATCGGTGGATATTTAAACTGAAATCAATTATTAGGAGTGGATAACATTGCAAACATCTGAAATGGAACAAAATAATTGTTTTGCAACCCTTAGTTTTTTTCAATAGTTTCTCATGGTTTCTATATTACGATCATCATATAATGTAAATTAACAACCACTTTTTTTACATTATTCCTTTTTGGATATACATTTCAGATCATTACATTAACTACTTAACATATTTCTTGAATATTTAATTTTTCTGAATATAATTTACTTAGTAACTTCATTCATACATAAAAAAACAAGAAAAATCAATTGATTATTAAGCAATAAGAAAAGTATTAACCAAGTTTTTGAGGATAAAATCTGAAATTCCCACAACAACAAAACATTAAAACAGATTAATCCAGATTAGAATTCACAAATTAATCAAAATCAATCACCTGAATTTGTAACTAATTATATTATGTATGCATATAAACGTATATATAATTTATATTGAGTTGAGAGAACTCAATATGCAAGGAATATACACCTCAAAAAATAGATTAAGTATTATTTAATATACTAAGTACTCTTTCTTCAAGTTCACTATTCAAAAAATCATGAACCATTTTGGAATCAGTAATAATAATTGTTTTGTAATACCAGTTCATTACTGCCTTACGGTCGACTACATTTATTGAGAACATAACACCTACTATAGTATCATAATATGTAATAATGTTATTGTAATATTTTAGTATAATACTACTGGTGTATTTAAGAATTTGACAAAATTGTTTTAAATTGAAATCACGAATGAATCAATGTTAGAGCACCATTGGAAACCTGGAAGCACTGAATGGCCATTTCGTCCTAGCATTAGACTCAGCATTGCGCATCCATGATCCGACAGGTAGTGTTCAAAACCAGGATCTTCGGTCTTGCGCGCAAACACTTGACCTCTAGACAACTGGGCCGGTATTCAATAGTGTGAATGTCTAAGTCCAATCAATGCATGATATTGCGCGACCGTCTCCCATTGTCTTCAGTGAGTAGCTGCCCTATATCAGACACGATTGTACTCCATCCTTTTAGTTAACAGTTCATACATTTCTAATCGTTTTAGCCGCAAAACTAAAAGGTAGATATGGATTTTTATGAGGTTAGATACTCACATCACTCACAATGTCAACATGCATTTAAACCGCTGTCTCAAGATACAAATATTTAATTAGCAAACTGATAAGTACACAATTTTAAAAATAGTATTTTGTATCAATGAAGAAATGATTATGTATACTTGTTTTAATTAGAATTAAACGTATAACATACCGAGAAGTATTTTTTTTGCACGCCATTGAACTTTTCCATGCTGATTTAAAACAACACATTGCATATTCACAGTATGTCCTAATGGTATAGCATACTGTTCCGCAGGTAGTACCTCGAAACATTGTATTCGTTTTTGGCGTTCTTCTGTTGTACAACGGTTGGATTGAATTACACGAGCAGCAGTATCTGTAAGAATTGAAGGATCAAACAATGGATCAGATAATAATGGATGTTTTGAATTATCAACATTTTCTGGTTGCATATCATTTAGATACGAAAATTTTTGATGCTTATTAAAGTTAATTACAGATAATGGATGATCACTTAACATATATTCATTTGAAGTATCCTGTGTATGTATTGATGCTGATGAAGATTTTGAATTTTCTAGTAATTCAGATTGCTTCTTAGAAATAACAGAATTTAAAACTTTTTCTGTATTCTTATTCATAGTATTAGATCCATATGCTATGAATTCAGATAAAACTAGGTTCCAGTTAATCAAGCCTATCATTATTATAGGTGAAATACGATCCAGGTACATCATATTCTAAGAGATGGAATTAATCATAATTTTTTTTCTACTGGGAAGTCAAAGTAATAATTTGTTATTCATAAATTTTATATGATTTTATTAGATTATTTGCGAAGTTTATTTGCCTGATATTTTGATTGAAGAAATTGTTTTTTTTATTATTTCGTTTTGATTGGTCAATTAACTGACCAATTAAACGTCGAGACAAATAAAAAAACGAATTTATTCACAAATTTAAGCACAATGCATTTTTAAGCAAAAATGGATAGTGGCTAGCAGTGAAATCTAGTACGCGCGTTTCGTCCTATTTTGGACTCGTCAGCAGTCCCAAATAACAATGGGAAGACACAAGTAAAATAACAAAAAGGCATTTTTGTTTAGTTTATAATTTTCATGTAAAATCTTTATATGTTTTTCACTTACTCTATTCATAAAACAATGAGTTATTTATAATTTCATAATAAATTTAAATAGTAAGGTGCATAGACAAGTAAAATTGGAAAAATCAATTGCTGAAAGCTTATCAATTTGTAACAGATATATTCTATGTAACATCAAAGATAATGAAAGTTCTTTACTAGAAGAGTACAGACACTCTAAGTAGGATGTATTTTTATCATTTTTATTTTTGTATTTATATAAGGTATATTTCACTACTTATTTCCTATCATTTCAACAAATTACTTATTCTGAACTAATAGTTTGTTGAAGCTTATTTTTCATAACTAATTCCTTATTGTTTAAATGGAAATTTTCATGTTTAAATCGTAAAATCATTGGATCTTCTTAATGTTTTCCGATAGTGTAATGATTCAGTGAACATCAGAAAATAGAATTGTTAAATCAATAATTTTTTAAAAAAATGGTAGCATTTTTTTGGTGGAACACAAACTTCAGATCTGAAGTTTGTGCTGATGATGTTCAGAAGAACGATGAAAGCTCCACGACCAAACCATCCAGCTCAGAGAACAAAACTCCACCAAAATCATCCACCTGAGCTACAAATCTTCTCCACCATCTCAAATGGTAGTGTTTCCAGAGAATTCTCTCTACTAATGTTGATAGTATGTGAACATTTATTTTACCAACAGAATATCAAGTATTTAATCCAATTACGTTCTATTTCTCGATGTATTCACCTATTTTTTGTTTTATAAATTTCAAATGAGATTTGTAACTATATACAGTTGGAAAATAATTGTGTATCTAACATTACTTTTCAATCATATCATTGATACACTGTTTCCTTTTTTTATCTACTAGTATTGATTGACATTATTTACAAATGATTAGTTTAATATAATTCCATTTCACTGTTATTAATTGGTGATAGGGCAAAAATTCCTAATATTCTCAGTTTAGGTGTTGTGGAGATTGTTAAGTTTTTGATTGAAATCATGAGTCAATTAAAGCTAGACCACCATGAAAAACCTGGAAGCACTGGAAGGCCGTTTCGTGCTAGTATGGGACTCCTCAGCAGTGCGTATATATTGTAACTTTATTGTTAATGTAATATTGACTTTAAAACTAATTTGTAGCTTTAGTATTCTGTATTAAAACTATGGTAAATGTGATAAACTTCTTATGGTTGATTGACAAAGATAAACTAAGTACTCTGTTCAATTATCTCAGTAAAGTTAATATACTAATATCAACTTTCGTAATTATTATATCTTGTGATAAGCGATAAATAATTTAACTAATAAAAAAGAATTTTCTTAAGATTTTCTTATATCACATTATAACTTATTGCGTAAACCTACAATATATAGAACATTATTGACTTATTTTTCTTATTTGAATTGTTTACTCACATATGTGACAATAAAAATGTGAGAAGTTATGCTTTTATTTTGAATGTGATTATGTTCAGGTTGGCATGACAACCAAATGGTTACAACGCAAGAGGTTAGTATCAATTCGGTAACAGTTATAACTGACACTATTAGAGTAATATATTTGAATATTTTGAGGAAAAAAATATTATTGATCTTGCGTTCAGTATACAATAATCGTATAAATTCACGAACAATGCTGAGGAGACAGATTTCATGCAACCAAAAAATGCAAAAAACATTTGTTTTAAATGATGACAATATCGAAAGACTGGTTTTTTTTAGATGAAATTTAACTTAAATGTAACTGGTTAATCCATCTGAACTGTAAGAACTAATGTTACTATCAGTAAACAGATATCAGATAGTAATAAATTGTAAATTGTTATCAGTAACAGAAGATTAAAGTGTTAGTTTATACGTTAGCTCCTGATATGAAGAAAACGATATTTTATTTATTTCTTTTATTTTAACACATAGATATTGGTACAAGGAAACACCAAATACATATACACCACACAGAAGTCATTTGATATATGGGAGGGCTGTGATACTGCCTGGGCGCCCAAACCGTAGTGGACGGTTTTCTTAGGGGGCCACACCCGGAACCTTCGACCCGAACGTCTGATCCACAAGGCAGTGGAGCAACCTAAGGAGATGCAGTCCCATGGTAGCCGATGACCAACGATTGGTTCATACGACATTTTTCCTTCAGAATACTGGAGCCAGCCCATGTGCACCATTGCTTGTGAATCAGGGTTTTCCAACTCCCCTAGGTGGACTCTCCTTATCCATCAGCCCGGTTTAAGCACCGGACGTTTGCTTTTCGTCCTCTCAATCTCGTAAACAAAACCCGTGGTGCGAGAAGGCAGTGAGTAGGACTTCCCTGGCAGAGGCTATATACGCGTGGCTATGTGAGAGCATTTCGAGAGGGAGGGCGGACTCCCCTCACTCTCGGCCGTACCAGGGCACATATATATATGTTTGCCTGTCGGTCAATTGTTTGATGAAACTTTTTTAAGGAGAAAAACTGTAATTTTTCTGAAAACTTACGTTAAAGACACAATTTTATATTATGAGTTACGAAGATAAGATATAAAAAACTGAAGGTAAATAGGAACAAACATGATAAGGATTGGATTTGTTAACACTAATTATGTGAATAACAGTGTTGATTTAAAGCAAATTATACTGTTACTAATTTTTTTAAAGGAAAAATGAATCACACAAGCCGCGGTGACATATTTTTATGAATAAAAAAACCAGTAAATTGGGCATAAGAAGTGTCTGAACATAGAAAATACTTTAATTCTATTCAATGACATAGTTACCCATTTGAATAACTCCGCGTTTAGCTCTTCTGGGATCACTGCCGGTCCCAAGCACAGATAAGGAAGAGGGAGCGGTTGGCAACTCCATTCCTTCAAAGCGCTAACTTCAATGCGTCAGAAGGTTCTGGGCCGCAAAAAGCATCATCATAACGAATATATTTCTATAAAAACCTTAGAGAAGATTCAAGATAGGAAGAACGAGAAGATAACAATTAACAACAGTCGAACAAGAACAGAGAAAGTCAAGGCATAAGCTGAGTACACAGAAGTAAACAAGCTAGTGAGGAGGAGCATTAGAGCCTAAAAGCAGAAATATGTGGAAGAGCTAGTAATCACAGTGTAAAAAGCTACAAGAGAAGGAAATATGACAAAAATAACGAAGAAACCAGCAGGAAAATAAAGGAAACTAGAGTGAACGGTCAAGCAGAAAGAAGGTAAGAAAATCAATGAAATTCAAGGACGGGGGAACAGATGGGTAGAACACTTTGAGGAAGTGTTGAATTGACCACCAGAATTGAATGCACGAGATATCGAAGCAGCTTCTACAGACATTCCTATAGATGTCACTCCACCAACGACGGATGGTCATCACACAAGTCACACAAATCTAGAATGGGAAAGCAACACGATCTGACAATATACCAGTTGAGCAACTGATGTCAGACATAGAAGTAACTGCAAACATGATCCACGTTCTATTGAGGAAGATTTGAGAGGAAGAACAAGTGTCAGATTGGAAAGAAGGGAAACTCATCAAGATACCAAAGATGGGAGGTCTGATCAAATGTGAGAACTACGGAGACATCACATTATTGTCAGTAACAGAAACGGTTTTCAACAGAGTGTTGTTGGACCAAATGAAAAACACAGTAGTAGTCCAACTTCGAGATGAACAAGATGAATTTTGTAGAGATCGGTAATGTACAGATCAAATTGCGAGATTACGGATCATCGTTGAATTATCGGTTGAATGGAACTCAACACTGTACATCAACTTCGTTGATTGTGAGAAAGCATTTGCCAGTGTGGATAGGAGAACAATATGGTAACTTCCTCGACACAATGATGTAACTGAGAAAATCTTCAATATCATACGGAATTCATACGATAGACTACACTGCGAAGTCGTGCATGGAGGACAGCTGACAAATGTATTGTAAGTGAGAACCGGAGTCAGACAAGTGTACTTACTGTGTCGCTTTCTCTTTCACCTGGTGATTGATTGGGTTATGAAGACCTGTACATCTGAGTGGAAGCACGGAATAGAATGGACGAGTTGTATGCCACTAAACGATTTAGACTTCGCAGATGACCTGACGTTTTCTATCCCATACATATCAACAAATGCAGGTCGGTGCAAACAGTGTATCAGCAGTCTCTGTATCAGTAGGCTTCAACATGCACAAGGGAAAAGCTAGATCTTTAAATACAACACAGAGAACACAAACCAAATTACACTTGATGGAGATACTCTGGAGGAGGTGTATACTTTCACATGTCTGGGTAGCATCACCGTTGAAGTTGAATGATTTAGTTGCAGGACGTAAAGGGGACTGTTGGCGAACAAAGGACAGTACTTGTACAGTTGAAGAACATATGGAACTCAAAACAACTGTCAGCATCAAGACAACATCAAGTTCAGAGGCTTCTTTACAAACGTGAAGACAGTTAGTTCCAATGTACTGAGTTGAAACTTGCAGAACTACTACAACCACCATGAAAAATGTACAAGTATTTATGAGGATTTATCTATTTAAGATACTGAACGGATACCATCAACAATAGGACAAACCAGCTTTCAGCTCAAGGATATATAGAAAAAACGATGGAAGCGGATAGGACACACATTGAGGAAATCACCAAACTACATCACTAGGCAAGCGGTAACTTGGAATCCTGAAGGGACTCAAAAAATTGGTAGGCCGAAGAACACATTTCATCGGGAAT